GTTACGTCCTTGAAATACCTCGGAAGCAACTTCGTAGAATACTTGAGGTCGTCATCACCTTTATGTGCGTTCTGAGGGGATGCCGACTTGCACACTGCAAGGGATTTCTTCGAGGCCTTTGCCTTGGCCTTGCCCTTGGCCTTGGCTTTGGCCTTGCTCTTCGGCGCCGCGATCGGCTCGAGCTTTGGCTCCTGGACGGAAGAGGTCGGGAGGGGGGAGAGGACGGGGCCACAATTCCTGACGCCTTCCCCAGCCCCCCTCCAGGAGGAGGGGGAGGAGGCAAATATCGTCATCATCATCGTCGTCATCATCGTCAGCATTATCGTCGTTATCAGCATCGTCAACGCCTTCGTCATCATCGTCATCATCATCACCGTCGTCATCGTCGTCATCGTCATCATCGTCACCCTCATCACCGCCGTCATCATCGCCAACGTCATCGTCAACATCATCGTTGTCATCACCGTCGTTATCATCACCGCTACCGTCGTCGTCATCACCGTCGCCACCGTCGCCATCACCATCGCCATTCGACCGATTCCGTCCTCGTCACCCTCAGCGCCGTCCGCCTGCTCCGTGATGTCCTTGGCGCCGCCCTTGAGCTTCTTCTGGATCATCTGCGTGACCTCCTTCATGCTCGGGCCTGCAACCGCCTGGGCAGCACCGACTGGAACATGAGCACCGACTGGAGCACCGACTGGAACTGCGGCACCGACTGGAGCACCGACTGGAACTTGAGCACCGACTGGAACTTGATGAGCACCGACTGGAACTGCAGCTGGGTGAGCACCGACTGGAACTTGATGAGCACCGCCTGGAACTGGATGAGCACCGACTGGAACTGCAGCAGCCTGTGGAACTGGAGCGGCACCGACTGGAGCTGTCTGAGCACCGACTGGAACAAGAGCATCGCCTGGAACTTGATGAGCACCGCCTGGAAAGGTCGCTGGAGGCGGCAACTGATGCGAGTCCCCGATCTCGATCGGCGAAGGCGCCGTATAGGGCACCATGGCCGACGGGCTCGCCACTGCGCCAGGTAGGAGGGACCTCGGTGCACACATGGTGGACGGGCTGCTCGTGCACTGCCGCATGAAGCTCCTGGTCGCCCTCGCGGGCTGCACTATCTGCTCGCACCCGTTCTTCGAGCTCCTGCAGACCTTCATCTGCTCCACCATGGCCCTGTGCTGCGGGCTCCACCGCGTAGGAGCTGGCGGAGAGGCCTCGAAGGCCTGCTTCCACACGTCTGGGAACATCTGCTTGAACGCCTCCACGTCATCAGGATACACAGTTGGCCCCACAAGCATGTGCGGGGAGCTCTCAGCCGTGGACTTCACGAGCGGCTTCAACCTGCGGGTCTCCTCGACGAGACGACCGACGCTGTATGGTTCCGTCTGTAGGCCCAGCGCTGTGCCACGAGCGAACGTTTTCTCGCCGGGGTTCCGAAGGCCGATCAGCACGAAGAACATCGCCATGGACATCAGCTTAGTCTGAGGGTCAATGCTCGAGTCGAGGAACTTTGTCCAGGCCTCCTCGGTCAAGTAGAGGTCGAGGTGAGTGTGGGCCTGCTTCTCCTGGATGACCACACCAGTCAGAGTGGTGCCTGCCAAGTGCACCTTTCCGTCGAGGCTGGTCATGATGAGCTCCACGCTGCTCGACGGGAGGCACTCACTGATGATCTGGTGTATCTGCATGGCGTCCTCTGGCTTCACGCCCTTGACGGTGCGAATGGCCTGTAGGATGCCAGTGCAAGCGTCGGTCTTCAACTGCTGGAGCTTGTCGCCCGTCGAGCCGCACTTTGCCATGAGCGCCACATACTCGACGCGCTGCCGAACGAAACCGATCAGCTGAGACATCCCTGACCGCGCGGGAACTGGGCCCAAAATGGGCGACAAAGAACTGCGCCCTATAGGGCGATAAAGGACTAAGCCAAAAATGGCTTCGGTTGATGTTGGCATTTGCGTTCTGTTGATGATGTGTTTATGTTGCGTGCTATAATCATGAGACTGTGATGTATATGATTGTTGCGTACATGATGTTTCTGATGGTTACGATGGCTGCGTTTATGCCGATGATGTTTTGAATGATGCTTACGTTTTTGATTATGATGATGTTTGATGCAGTGGTCGTGGCAATATTTCTGGGACCTTTGTTCTGGTTGAGGCCGTTGTCCTCTGGTTGTCCCGTGGTTGCCCCATGGTTGCCCATGCAGTGAATTAATGAGATCCACCACCGTGCCCCCTGGCACGCTGAGGCGTGATAGACTGCCAAGTGCTGTCTGGTATATGGGCCCCAAATGGCAATGTATACAGAGCAAGAAAAGTTAAAAACACTTATGTTAAACTTAACCAAACACTTAAAAACACTTATAAAACGTATGGAAAACTTATGGGGAACTTATAAACACTTACAAACACTTATGATAAAGCCAAGATAACTGTTTCATATTTTTTATAAGTCGTTAAAATGCGTCTTAAGTACTTATAAGGCCCCGCAACCGAAAAAGACATGGTAGTGGGCTCCTCTGGGCACCTCCCCCGGGGCCGGTTTTGTGAGGATGTCTCAAGCGAGGGCGCCGGTTTGGGATTCGTACGCGGATCCAGCAGATCTGTGCGGAAACGGTGCCGGAGGCCGCTCTGGGCTCCTCTGGGCACCTCCCCCGGGGCCGGTTTTGTGAGGATGTCTCAAGCGAGGGCGCCAGTTTGGGATTCGTCGGCGGATCCAGCGGATCTGTCCGGAAACGGTGCCGGACGCTCCAGCGGATCTGTCCGGAAACGTTGCCGGAGGCCGCTCTGGGCTCCTCTGGGCACCTCCCCCGGGGCCAGTTTTGTGAGGATGTCTCAAGCGAGGGCGCCGGTTTGGGATTCGTCGGCGGATCCAGCGGATCTGTCCGGAAACGGTGCCGGAGGCCGCTCTGGGCTCCTCTGGGCACCTCCCCCGGGGCCGGTTTTGTGAGGATGTCTCAAGCGAGGGCGCCGGTTTGGGATTCGTCGGCGGATCCGGATCCACCGGATCTGTCCGGAAACGGTGCCGGAGGCCGCTCTGGGCTCCTCTGGGCACCTCCCCCGGGGCCGGTTTTGTGAGGATGTCTCAAGCGAGGGCGCCGGTTTGGGATTCGTCACCGGATCCAGCGGATCCAGCGGATCCAGCGGATCTGTCCGGAAACGGTGCCGGAGGCCGCTCTGGGCTCCTCTGGGCACCTCCCCCGGGGCCGGTTTTGTGAGGATGTCTCAAGCGAGGGCGCCGGTTTGGGATTCGTCGGCGGATCCACCGGATCTGTCCGGAAACGGTGCCGCTCTGGGCTCCTCTGGGCACCGCCCCCGGGGCCGTTTTGTGAGGATGTCTCAAGCGAGGGCGCCGGTTTGGGATTCGTCGGCGGATCCACCGGATCCACCGGATCCACCGGATCTGTCCGGAAACGGCCGGAGGCCGCTCTGGGCTCCTCTGGGCACCTCCCCCAGGGCCGGTTTTGTGAGGATGTCTCAAGCGAGGGCGCCGGTTTGGGATTCGTCGGCGGATCCAGCGGATCTGTCCGGAAACGGTGCCGGAGGCCGCTCTGGGCTCCTCTGGGCACCTCCCCCGGGGCCGGTTTTGTGAGGATGTCTCAAGCGAGGGCGCCGACGTCTCCACCGGATCCACCGGATCTGTCCGGAAACGGTGCGGCCGCTCTGGGCTCCTCTGGGCACCTCCCCCGGGGCCGGTTTTGTGAGGATGTCTCAAGCGAGGGCGCCGGTTTGGGATTCGTCGGCGGATCCACCGGATCCACCGGATCCACCGGATCTGTCCGGAAACGGTGCCGGAGGCCGCTCTGGGCTCCTCTGGGCACCTCCCCCGGGGCCGGTTTTGTGAGGATGTCTCAAGCGAGGGCGCCGGTGGGATTCGGATGGATCGGTAGGTGCCAGGATGACGGTAGTGCCACAGAAACTCCCTCAAACCACCATCACCGAGATGGGGATCGTCCTCCCTCGGTGGAGGCACACCGCCGATCTTGGTGTTGGTGTCAACCTCTGGGCCTGCGAGCCTGGCATCGGCCACGGGCCGCCGACGGACCGGCGGCACGGCCCCCTGGCAGCACCGTGCACGCTCCAGCTGGGCGGGGTGGGCTGCCAGGCCCCCATGTGGCAAAGAGTGGCGGGCGGACCGGGGGGGCCGGCGCGCTGCCTGCGGAGCCCGTCCGCCCCGCCCCGATCGACACGAGCAAGAAATTATCCCAGTGCGACCCTACCTAGGAGTTGGAGGATCTAGGAAAGCAACATTTCTATGAAGCTAAGTTAAGCTCAGATGAAGCTAAGCTAAGATGAAATAAGCTAAGCTAAGATGCGATCAGCAACGCTAAGCTAAGGGAACGTCACTGGGGAAACCGCGGAGCGGATACTTGGGGAACCGCCCAGGGCGAGTTGCACTGCCCGGCCCTTTAAGCATACCGAGTAAGAACCCTTCTGGGCAGAGCCTAGGTCCCCCTCCAGGCGCACGGAGCGCGCCAGGAAGCGACGAGCGACGACGAGCCACCACCTCGGACAGCTGCCCGGGCCTGCCAAGTCCAGGTGGGTGAGGCCATGGCCTCCTGTAAAAAAAAGCGGCCATGCATAGGAACTGCGAGACACGCAGACCTGAATGAGAATTGCGGAGCGCGCCAGGCGAGCACGCGGAGGATCCAAGAGATCCGCGCGGACCTCAGAGAACGCATGCTCAAGAACCTCCTTTGTTTTGCTGTGTTCCTGCTCGTTCCCACGTGTCACGTGTGCGCAGCTACACTGCCAATGCCGCATTTTCTTGTGGCTTTGCCGCGTTCCTGCTCGCAACGCACACCGCCAGAGGCGGCGGAGAGCTCGAGAGATCCACCCACCACAATTGCACCTCCTCTCCCGCATGTGTCCCTTTCTCCCGCTTCCCGTCGGCTCTCATGGGCAACCTTTCCGAGTGGGCTGGTGGGGACACGCCAGGCGTGCAGAGCTATATGCGGGTGACGTCTTCTGCTCTTCGGCCCATCGTTGCCCCCTGGCGTCCGCGGTCAGCACGCGGAGCACAGCGACGGCCCGCCGCAGGCCCCCGAAGCCCTGGCTGGCAAGCTCGGGCAGCCGTCCGGCCAGCAGGGCGCGGCTGCGGGTGTCCAGGGCCGCGCCCAGCGCGGCCGCTCCGCGCGCCGCGCTCTCCTGAGCATCGTCTGGCCGATGCCTATCCCAACTGGCGTACAGTCGCCTTGATTGGACAAGACACGCGAGAGGACACAAGACACAGGAGTGTAAGACGGCACGTGTCGCGAGGCACAGGACACAAGGGTACCCTGGAGCTGGCAGGGTCGACCTACTAATCCGGGCCGGCTGTAGGCGGGGACGGGGATATGTGCCTGCTCCGTGGGGTTCCGCACGGCCGATCTCCACCCGGGAGGGCTGGGCTGGTGGGGCCGAGACGCCAGGACCCAGAGGGGATGGGGATAGCTCAGACGATGCTGGTCTCCAGCGCCCGCAGTGTCGGCGCGTGGCCGCCGAGCGCGCCCAGCAGGCGCGCACCCAGCGCGGGGCCTCGCCCTGCGACCGCCTGCCTCAGGGCGCCCCGCGCCAGGGAGCCGAAGGCTGCCAGCGCGTCCGCGGCCGCCTCCGCGCCCAGCCACGGGTGCTCCTCGCCGGGGTCCTCCAGCGCCCAGTCCGCCCAGGCGCCCAGGAAGAGGGCGGCGGCCTCGGTGAGGCCGGGGTGCACGCCTCGCTCGCAGTGCAGCGAGAGGGCCCACAGCGCAGCCACCGCGCCCTCGGCGGCTGGGGCCCCTGCCGAGCGCAGCCGGTCGCGTGCGCAGCGGAGCGCAGCGGCGCACAGCTCGACCACGGCCGCCGTGCAGCGCCGGTGCTCGGCGCTGACCGCGGCGGGCGGCCGAGCGCTGGTGGCGTGGGGCGCCAGCGCGGCAAGCAGGGAGGCTGCCTGGGGCAGGTCCAGCTCCGCAGCACTGTCGGTCAGCGAGGCCGCGAGGGCCCCCAGGCCCTCGCAGGCGCAGTCCTGCACCGCGGCGTTCCAGGCCGTGCCGTGGGCGGTGCAGCTCGGGCGGTCCTCCAGCGCGGCGGCTGCGGGGGCCACCATGTCCGCCGGAGGCACGGTGAGGCTCGCGAAGGTCAGGACCAGCTGCAGGACCTCTTTTTGTTGCACACGAGGCGCGAGCCAGTCACCGACTGACCAGACAATGTTACGCATCGGGATACAGGCACATCCAGTACTGTGGAAAGGTCACCCTGCGACAGGCGATGCTCCTGGAAGCCACGAGGCACTAGACATGAGTACGAACTCGTGTTTGAATTTGCGTCTGGCAGACAGTGATGGCGGAGGCACAAGACAGCGTGGCGGCGAATGGCATGGCAGTGACAAGCGAAACAATGGCAGCACTCGAATGCAGCACAAATATATATATATATATATCCGCGACGGTAACATCGGTAGATAATTATATAATATACACATATACATACCTACATGTGTCACAGCGGGAATATGTTTCGATGAACAGCGTGTGTACACATGCATCCAGATGTATATAGATGTATCAATTCATCCATCCATCCATCCATCCATCCACCCACCCACCCACCCACCCACCCATACACACATACCGACAGACAGACAGACAGACAGACAGACAGACAGACAGACAGAACAGAACAGAACAGAACAGACAGACAGACATATACACATATACATACACACATGCATACATACAGCGGTGGCGGAATGAATCTACAGTGGCGGCGAAGCGGCTGCAATACCTCTTGGTCCGGCGCGCCCTGGACGGGCTCCAGCCTGGTCGCCAGCTCCACGGCGCTCTGGAGGATCACCTGCGCGTGCGCCAGGCCAGCACCACCTGCGGCCGCCACCGGCAGCCGGCCGAGGGCCCAGGCGGCGCCCGCCAGGTCCAGCGCGGTCAGCGGCAGCTCGGCCGCCCTGCGCGCCGCATCCGCCGCGAGCTCCAGCAGCGGGGCCCACACCTCCGCCGCGGCCGCCAGCTCCCGGCAGAGGTCCTCGTCCGCCTCCGCGGCGCGGCCGAGGCCCCACAGCGCCGCGACCGCCAGCTCGGGCCCGCCCGGCGCCGCGGCCGCTCCGGCCGCGACGCGCCCGGCCAGCCGCAGGCAGAGCGGCGGGCTGGCGGGCGGCGCCCTCTCCCCGGCGGGCTCCCCCGCCCCGCGGCCCAGCGCCAGCAGCGCCGCCGCCGCGAGCCGCGGCGGCTCAGACGCGAGCGCGCCCGGCTTCGCCGCGCAGCGGCGCAGGAAGCCGTGGAGCAGCTGCCCGTGGCCGCCGCCCGCCGTCGTCTGGCGGGCGGCGGCGTCCGAGAGCGCCATGGCGGCGGGCGCGGGCACAGCTGCGGCGACCCCGCATGCCCGCACCCGCTGGCGGCCTGCAGGCCGGACGCCTCGAGCCAGGGCGGAGGGCACAGGACCTGCCCGCGCCGCGAGGCAGGCGCGACGGAAGGTTGTCGAGGGATTCTCGGCCCCTGGGGGCCCCTGGATTGTCAGGAGACGGGGTCACGCCCTCCAGGGCCTTAAGCCCGGGGGCGCGGGGAGATGGGTGGTGCGCTGCCAAGAAGCTCGGCGGCCGAGGAAGCAGAGGCAGTGCAGGTACAAAGGCGCTTCCTACTCGAACTGCTCGTGTGGCGCTCCCCCTAGCTCTTTCACACTCCCTCTCTCACTGTCTCTGCGCACCATTGGGTCATCTTGGGCATTGTGTGGAGCTCCGCGGACCCTCTTGGGGAGTCGTTGGGCCCTCTTGGGTCGTCCTGGGCCCCTCTTGGGCGCTTCTTGGAGCCCTCTGCGACGCCTGCTGGGCAATATTTGTGCCAGCTTGGGGCGAGTGTGGGAAAACTCGGGATGAGAGGGACGAGGAGGCCGACGAGCGCGAGAAGGTGCTCGGAGGACACCGAGCAGGACGACGACGGCGAGGGCGAGGAGCAGGGCGGCCAGGACGACAACGATGAAGGCGCGCGCCGCCGCCTCCGCGCAGGCGCTGCCCTGCTCTCCCGCGCCCGCTGGCCCCCGTGCGCCCGCGGGGGAAGGGGGTCGGGCACGGTGGGCGACCGACGAGACTACGACCAACGGCCTGGCTGTGTGTGATCGCCGCGGGTCGTCGCTTCAGAGCTACAGGAAAGGGAGCTAACTGTACACACGCACGCACGCACGCACGCACGCACGCACACGCACACGCGCACGCACTCGCACACGCACACGCGCAAGCGCACGCGCACGCGCACGCGCACTCGCCCGCGCAGAGGCGAGAAACGAGGGAGGTGGGTGGGGGTGCTCCGAGTTTCTTAACAAGCATCGGGGAGGGGGCCCCCGCCGACGGCCCCAAATCGACCCCCGTCGCGGGCAGCCACCGCGCGCTGAGGGCGCTCCGACCCCCGTCGCGGCGCAACGACGAGGCGAGGGTGGCCCCCTTCGGGGGGGTACCCCCCCACACTTATTAGGAAACCCCGAGTAGGTTCCACGCATTGGCATGGAGGAAGTACATGCGCTGTCGCAGGGAGCACAATCAACAGTGGCCCAGAGAGGCAGCGGACCTCGCCGTCACACACTTTCTGAGGCCTCCTCGGAAAGAGATCCCTGGGGGTGCCCTTGGACCAGGGGGGGCACTCCCAGCAACACCCGAGCTTCTTGTTCGAGACACCACAAATGGGGTCCTCAGAGGGGGGGCTGGCGGGCGGCAGCGCGCCGCGAGGCGCCCGGCGATATACCCAGCGCAGCAGCCGCGACAGGGCCCTGGGGGCGCCGCGCCCGCGTGCGCTCGCTGGTTCCAGGCTGGCAAGCGGCCGAAGACGGCTCGTCGGTTAGAAGTTCGGCGCAGCGCCCATAGGGGCTTGCTGGATGGGCTCCGAGTACAGTCAACCCGTATAGGAAGGATGCGCGATAAGGATGCAAGGGCCTTGGACGCCCATCTCGAAGCTTTTCGAGCGGGGCGCGGCCAGCGAAAGTGGCCAAGGATGGGCCGAGGAGGCAAGGATGCAAGGGTATCCTTGGGAAGGCTGCCCATCCTTACTGTGCGGGTTGACTCTAAATGGGGTCGGAGTCCAGCACCGCATCGCCAGTGCATCGGCGATGCATCCGCGACGTCGGCCAGGCATCGGCGCCGTCGGCGTGGAGAAGATCGGGCTCTCCATATCGAGCTGCATCGGCGATGCATCGGCGATGAGGCGCGATCCTCCGGTCCCATCTGCTTCGACCCCACCCGGGAGACCCAGAGGCCAGGGGGGAAGGTAGAAAGGGCCACCCTTCTCAGCAGGCTCAAAGGCTTCCAGCCTTTTGAGAAGCTTTCTCGGCCTTCTCCGACGCCACAGCGGGCTCCTCAGCAGGCCGGCGGGCTTCTGGGAAGCTCCGTCGCTCTCTGAGAAGGCCTGCCCCTCCCCGCTTCACCCCTCGACGCCAGTGGTAGGCATCAGCTCCTGGGAACTCTTCGATGGGGTACTGATGGAAGATGTCCTGGCCCCAGGAATACCCAGGGCTGCCAGGGGGGACCCAGCGGCCTCCAGACGGCCCAAGACGAGGCCCAGGAAGAGCGCACGGGGCTCCCAGATCGCCCGCAGGCCGGGAAACATCTTGGGACAGACAAACATATGTCAACATTCGACTCGTAGGCGCCAGAGTGATGCTGGACTGGGACAGATCAAAGTGGACCGTGCCAGAAATTCGACCTCCCAAAAGCCGCAACCTAGAGCTCGGTGAGACTTCGATGAGGGATCGTAAGCCGTCAGGAGGTGGGGAAGGCGGACAGTCAGATCCTGCTGTCATACACAAACATAGGAACGGCAGACTCTCCTACACTTTCAATTTCACAGAAGCCCCTTTGTGTGCCATGGGACGATCAAAAACTAGTCCAGGATGGAACAGCCAGGGTCGAGAGGTCTAGGGGCCCACGTCACGAAAAACCGCGATGTCGGAGAAGCGTAGGACGGAAAGACGTTAACGCCACTGGTTTTCCATGATGTCTTCGGATGTGTTCGGCCACGTCTGAGAGCATTTGGCAGTTTCTGGCGGTCTTGGGGGGCTCTGAGAGATGAGGGGACGGGGCACCCAACAAGCTGCCACTCCCGGCCGCCTCCCGGCCCGACTACTTCCCCGAGCACATTCGAGGCCCACTGCTTCAACCATGGGGCACCAACCCGAGACAATCCGCTCGGCTAGTGAAGGATCATTGGTGTCGGACAACTGCCCCTGAGACAGAGGATCATCTGTGCTGGAAGATCATACCTTCATGCCCGTCAGCGGAACGTGGCCTCACAAGGGCATGTCGAAGGACACTCAACGACAGCGCGATGCAGCAGCATCTCTTCGTGCTTATACGGCGACGTGGCCTTGCAAGAAGACCCACGAAGACCACTGCCCATACTTTGATCCATGCGTGGTGTCGCAAAGCGCTGTGGGGAATCATATGCCCAGGGCGCCCGGACACCACTGCCACCATGTCTGGCCAGGGCCGTCCTGCGCAGACCTGGCCTGGGCCAGGAGGGGTCCAGAGGAGGAGGAGGGGGAGGACGAGGAGGAGGAGGAGGAGGAGGAGGGGGAGGAGGAGGAGGAGGAGGAGGAGGAGGAGGAGGAGGAGGGAGGAGGAGGAGGGAGGAGGAGAAGAGAGGACTGGTGCCCGGGCTTGCTCTGGCCCGGCATGGTGGTGGTGGTGGTGTGCGGCTGCCGTTTGCGGAGCCCTGCCTCCCGGCGCTGGACACCCCCCCCTGTTGAGCAGGGACCTACCGTCCCGGCATTCCTATAGTCCTACCATGAAATGTTCGGAGAACCCCAAAATGTTTCCAGAACAAGAACAAGGTTCTCAGAACATGAGCCCGATGTGTCAAATCAAGACAGACTCCGCCAGAAATGTTCTAAGAACACTTCGTGGAAACCACACAACAGGTTCTTAAAACATTGTTTGGTAGGCCTATAGGCGAGCCAGGACGCTTCGCCACTGCTCGAGGCCCCCCGGGCCCGCCTCGGCCCGCCGAACCGGGACCCCGCCAGCAGGCACGGCATGACCGGCACGCCGCGCACGTCGTCCGCCAGGCGCGGGCCCCCGCCGTCTGCGGGTGGCTCGCCCTTCGGGGGGGGGGCGTGGGAACAAGGGAAGGCGACACCGACACCAGCAGGGCGAGGAGGTGCGAGGAGGCAAGGGGAGTCTCCCTGGTGGTGTGGTCCCCACCCCTCTCGCTCGAGACATCCCCAGCATCCAGCTCGGGGAAGCATCGTGGACCTCCTCGCTGGAGGTGGGCCCCCTGGTGGTGTTGGTATCGCTTCTTCCCTCCGAGGGTGGGGGCGCGAGGAGTCGGGCAAGCATCACGCCTATCGGGGAAGCCGTGGCTCCGCTGAAGCCCTGCCCCCCAGGGCTAGTGGGGAATGGGTGCCGTCTCCTTCTGGCTGCGCAGCACCCATCTCCGCCTGGAGGGGGTATGCTGGGAAAGCCATCTTACCATGCCCGTGTAGGGGCTGGAATGGTACTGACGATGATGAAGGTGGGCACAGGCCGAGCTACCCCGACCTGCTTCCCTATGCCTTCGCCTTCGCAAATTGCCCCACGCCGCCTGTCGGCCGGAAGGTACGCCGGCTGGCGCGCTCGACGAACACTCACGGGGCTTTGCCGCAGTAGTTGCCTCCTGCGTCTACGTGTCCTGCCCCTGCACATCGACTGGTTCGTTTTCTGAAAACAAACACCTCGGACATCTCCCCCACCTTCTCGTTCGCCTCCTCGATCGTCTTCTGGATGAGGGGGGGCGCTAGTGTCAGACTCCGCCGGGAGCTCAGGCGGTAAATGAGGAAACCAACAGGTACCGATACCGCTACTCCCCAAACCTCTCGCGAGGTTCGTTCTGACCAGAATTTCGAAGGCGAATCCAGCGGTGACGACGAAGGCACAAAAAGGGGAAGACGAGGGAAGGGCAGCGGTATTGGTACCTTCCTTGTCCTCCTCTGAGTCAAGATCCTCTCGCCTGAAGGACTCATGGAGGGAGACCGATTGGTTTGACGACGGTGCAGCCAGTATCCGATTCCACTGAACTGGGCGGGCCGACACAGGGGGCTTTGACATTGGCGCCAACGCCGGCGACCGACTCCTTCGGGCTGCAGGGGGCGCCAGCGAAGGTGGAGACCGCGGAGTTGCCAGCGTCCGACGCCTCTGAGTTGGAGGGGCCACTGGTCGTGACTTGGGCAGCGGTGCCGACGCCTGCGTCCGTTTTCTCTGGGACGAAGGGGGCGTCTGGGGAGGCCACGGGGCCAGCGACCGACTCCCGACTCCTTCGAGGAGAAGGGGGCACCGGCGCTGTTTGCAAGAACTGCCGCAGGTCTGGGCAGCGCTGCTTCCAACGAGTGGAGCCGCGAGTGCGGGGTCGCCCTCTCGGGGCGCTCCTGAAGGACCAAGGCTCTGAGAGCCCGCGGCCCGCCGCGCGTGCCATGCCGCGTCCCGGCGCTGGGACCCTTGCCTCGCGTTCCATGGAAAATGCTCGGCAGGGGCTACCCTCGCCCCGTCGGATCACTGCCCCATGCGTCGGAGCGCCTTCCCCCACGCTCTCCCCAGATTTCCAACCTCGGCGGACACAATATGGCTACCAAGGCCCCGCTGCATCGACTACAAGTGCAATAGACGTGACCTCAATGGGCCTCCAAGAGAGCCGCACAAACGACCCATGAATTTCGTCATTCGATATCCTTGTTCCCGAGAGCCCCCCGAGAACGGCACAGTACGCCCCAGATGTGCCCAAAAGCCCTCAAGACGGCCCGAGATGCCTCCAAAGGCCTCCAAGATGGTCAATGAGGCCCCCGAGAAACTTCAAAGCGGCGTCCCAGCGGGTCCAAGGAACCCTGAAATGATCCAGCAAAACTCTAAGACATCTCCAAGACGACCAAGTAGGGCCCCAAGCGACCTCCAAGACGGTCCAAGAGGTCCCTGAAACGTCAGGGGCCCCCACGAAGTGAAGCCCCCATGAGCATGTCAAGAGGCGCCCGAAAAGTACCCATGATCGTCCCCTCGAGATGACCAGGCGCTCCCCAAGGAGACTCCCAGGAAGTGTCCGCACCCTTTACCATAAACCCTCCAAGTCACTCATTCACCGCCCCTCTGGCTTACAGCCGACTGCCCCCCGTTGCACCACCAAGTGTGTCGGCAAGACGTCTCAAGCGTTTCCCTCGGAATTGTCTCACGATTTCGACCATGCAGCTTGAACTTGCAACAGCGATGCGGATGAAGGGCGGGTCATTTGGAGCGTGGCTCTCGCCTGAGCGTCAGGCTCGCTCGCCCTAAACGAACCCAGCAGCTACACGGATGGAAGGCCGGTTTGCTCCAACATGCGGTTCTCGCCTAAACGCCGTACTTGCTTATCTTAAATGTGTGCAACACTTGCATTTCAGCGGGTGGGGTGGTGAGATGTGGTTCTTCTCTTCACGCAGCGTGCGTTCGTCTTGAATGTAGCAATGGCCCAGCGGATGGGGCACATGTTGTTTTCAAAGTGAGGCTCTCGCTTGGGAACCGTACCCGCCAGTCGTAAACATGTCCCATGGCTTCACGGGGGGCTGGTCGCTTATTCTCAATCCGTTATCACTCAAAGCTTCTTCTGGTTGAAATGGCGGAAATGGAAACTGTAGACAAATCGCGCGGATGGGCGGCTCCTCCTATGTCTAGAAGGGCTCTCGACTGAGACATCATCAGAGATTTTTGACAAGACGCACAGAAGGATTGCTGCTCCCGTCCACTCTCCTTCTCCTCCTCCCTCTCCATCTCTCTTCCTTTCTCTTGTTCTTTCTCTTTCTTTCTCTCTCTCTCTCTCTATATATATATATACATCATCGGTCTCGCTCGATCGACCTCAGAATCGATCTCGCCCGATATATTTCATTCGATCGATCTCACAATCGATCCGACGATCGAACTCACAATTGATCCCACGATCGATACCACTATCGATATCACAATCGATCTCACATTCGGTCTCACTACCAAAATCAATATCCATATCACAATCGATATGACAATCAACGTCATCATCATCAACAACAGCATCGTCATCAACGTCATCAACATGATCACCATCATCGGGGCACCATCATCATCATCACCTCTTCCCGGTCATCATCAACATCATCATCATCACTCTCATCATCACAATCGGGACACCATCATCGTCACCATCATCATCATCATCATCATCAACACCATCATCATGGGGACACCATCGCCATCATAACACCACCAGCACCATCATCCCAAGATCATAAATATCACGAGCAACATCATCAACATCATCACAATATGGGGACCATCATCATCAGCAGCATCATCAGCAACACCAACATCATCGGGACACCATCATCATCGTCACCATCATCATCATCACCATCATCATCGGGACACCATCATCATCGTCAACATTTGCATCATCAGCATTACCATCATATTGCAACCAGTATCAACATCATCATCATCAGCACCTCATCACCATCCTCACCATCAACATCACCAACACCATCGGGACACCATCGACGTCATCACCATCATCAACATCATCATCATCATCGGGGCACCATCATCATCATCAACAGCATCAGCAGCCTCATCATCATCATCGGGGCATCATCATCATCCTTTTCAGCATCATCTCATCACCACGTCATCATCATCATCATCAGCATCATCATGATCACCAACTTCATCACCATCATCATCATCATCATCATCATCATCATCATCGGGACACCACCATCATCAACAACATCATCGTCATCACCAGCAACATCATCGGTACACCATGATCATCACCACCATCACCATTATCATCATCATCATCATCACCAACATCATCAACATCATCATCGGGGTACCATCATCATCACCACCATCACCATCATCAGCATCATCAACATCATCGACATCATCAGCATCATCATCATCATCATCAGCATCATCATCATCATCACCATCATCCTCATCGGGACACCGACGGGACACCGGCGGGACACTGGCGGGACACCGCGCGCCACCCGACGCCGGAGGGGAGACATTTGGTCGAGCCGCGCCTCATCCACAGCGGGACACCGGCGGGACACCGCGCTCCACCGGACGCCGGAAAGGAGACATTTGGTCAGGCCGCACCTCAGCCACAGGAGACTTTCCTCTCGCCCGACCACGCAGCTTCGCCTCGCCCGCACGCGCGGCACGCACGAACACGAAACCGAAACAGATTTCGTGGTAGGGGGGCTCTCCGTTCCACTTCGATCTCACCCCCTCACCTCCGATCTACAAATGCGTGTATATATGTATATATGCATACCTACGTATGTATGTGCATGTGCATACCTGTATGTATGCATGTTATGTATGTATGTATGCATGCATGCATGCGTGTATGTATGTATGTATGTATATTTGCAAATCCGTCGACCCTGTCGGCGTGTGTGAGGGGCTTCTCCGTTCGACTCGTCGTCTCCGTCGTCTCCGTTCTCCCCCATCTCAGGGCTCTCCTCCTCAGTCGCGCTATCCAAAGCGAAATCAAACGACGTCGTAGTGGAGTCGAAGGGAAACCCCTTCCCTTTGATCCCTTCCCCGCAAAGGGGGGGGGGGCAGGGCAGATACGACGCCCGCCGGGGCGCACTTTCCTCGAGCGGGCACGCACGGGATGCACTTCCTCCTCCTCCTGGTCCTCCTCCTCCTCCTCCTCCTCCTCCTCGTTTTCCTCCTCCTCCTCCTCCTCCTCCTCCTCCTCCTCCTCCTGCTCCTCTCCTCCTCCTCCTCCTCCTCCTCCTCCTCCCGCAGAGGCGTCCCGGGAGCGGGCCCCGAGTCAAAATACCACCCCCCTAGGGCGCATTTTCCTCGAGCGGGCACGCCCGAGATGCACTTCTTCCTCTTCCGGGAGCACGTCCCAAGTCAGAATATCACACTCCCAGGGCGCACTTTCTTCGAGCGGGCACACAAAGGATGCACTTCCTCCTCCTCCTCCTCCTCCTCTTCCTCCTCCTCCTCCTCATCCTCCTTTTCCTCCTCCTCCTCCTCCTCATCCTCCTGCTGCTCCTCCTCCTCCTCCTCATCATCATCATCATCCTCCGCTTCCTCCCCCCACTCCTAGCCCTTTCGATCAGGGTCGGCGGCACCGGCCGTCAGGCCTCTCCAATATATGTGTATATATCTATATATATATATATATCTTTATATATAGTATCATACGCACCTCTCCGAGGGAGTAGAGTTCAGAGGCGATTGCTGCATACGCGCCGCGTCGGTCGCGATGTTTCTGGCCGTTTCGCTAGGGACATCCTCGAAATTCTGAAAATCGGTGGCACCCCTCACACAGATCGTGACGTCAGGGTCCAAAAACGCATTGGAATTTAAACAATTTAACATCAAACCTTTAAAACCATATTGTGATTTCAATGATTTTGACCCCGATTCTCAGAGAATGGCGGTTTCGCCTGAGACATCCTCCCAACATCGAGCCCCGACGTACTTTCTGGTACCCCAGACCCTGCCTCGGAACCTCCTGGGGGCCTCCTGGAACCCCTCTGGTGCCTCCTGGGGCTTTCTGTGCCTTCTGGTGCCCCAGACCCCGCCTTGGAGCCTCCTGGGGGTCTCCTGGAACCTCCTGGGGCCTCCTGGGGCCTCCTGCGACCTCCTGGAGCCTCTTGGGGCCTCCTGGAGCCTCCTGGGGTCTCCTGGGACATCCTGAGGCCGCCTTGGGCCTCCTGGGGCCTCAGAACTATATGCGCACACAGAGACACAAATCACACCCAACACATCACACGCTAGACAAACAGAACACACACACACACACACAACTACAACGCACAGAAGACACGCACAACACAGAGCACACATCACACACACACAACACTCACAAGCCTCTTCCGATATCCAAGTCGGGCCTCCTGAGGCTTCATGGGGGGCCCTGGTACACACATCGCAAGGTGTGGCAACCCCACTTGCGCTCGAGTGCGGCGACCTCGCTATTGCATTTCACTCCCAGCAGCTATCCTCCTCCTCTGCTCCTCCTTCTCCTTTCCTCCGCAAACTGTCTAGTGAAACAAATCGGCTGGTGGGAATCGTGCTTACACTTCTCTTGTTAATCGCTTCGCTCACTCCGCCAGCCCATCTTGCATCACTTGTATGAGCCTGGGCACACACGTCCGCCACCGTGCCGCAAGGCTCGAAATTGAGTTTCCTGCAACATCTCATGTGTCCTCTGTCCTCTGCGCTCCGGGATTACGATATTCTAAAGGCTGGGGCCCCAATTTCTAAAATTTCCTAATTTCCCGGGCGTTCCCGCGCGTTCCCGGGCTGCCCCGCGTGATTTTTCCAGAGCCGAAGGGCCTCAAGGCGGGCCCAGAGAGCCGAGAAAACGCCCACGAGGGTCCAAGAGGCCTCCAAGGCAGCCCAAGAGCGCTCGAAGACATCCAAGATGGCCTCAAGACGGCCGACGAGGCCCCAACGAAGCCCAAAGTGCGCTCCAAGAGGATACCCAAAAGGACCCACAGAGGCAAGAATCATTTGTGTTCCTTGTGTTCCTTGTGTTTTTCTATGTTGTTCGCGTTCTCACATGTTCGGGCTTCCGACGCTGCAAGAAGGCACAAGGGGCCCCCAAGACCGCCCCAAGACGGCCCGCGGGGCCTCCAAGGAAGCCCCAAAACGGTCAAATAGCGCCCCAAAGCGGCCCAATGGGCGCCCAAGATCGCCCAAGAGGGCCCGAAGACGGCCCCTAGAGGGGGAACACGAACCGACAATTCGAGCATTCCGCCCCAAGAGGCCACCAGAAGAGGCCCCAAGAGGCTCCCAAACGGCCCCCAAGATGCCCCAAAACTGGCTACGATATCCAAGCGAAACTCCAAGAGGCCAAGGGCCAAGAGGCCCCTAACCCACAACCCAAGCACGGTGGCGGGATGGACCGACGGCCACTCGTTGTATGCATGTATGTATGTATGTATGTAGGTAGGTAGGTAGGTAGGTAGGTATGTATCTATGTGTGTATATATATAAGTGTAGATATACATTTGTGTATATACACCTATGTATATATATATATATATATATAAACGTATATATGTGTATGTATATGTATATATACACATACATATATATATATATATATATGTATAGATGTGTTTCTCTTACTATTTGGGATCCGCTCTTGTTTTGTGCCACGCCGCTTCCACCAGGGTATTGTCGAGCGGGGCCTCGCGGGCCCACCAGCGGGGCGGCTGAGCCCCGTTGAACTCACCGCCCCGTGTTGCCTCTCGCCAGCGCCGCCAGCACCGCGCGGCCGAGCTTCTCCCAGGGCGAGGTCAGGCCGAACGAGGCCTATGGCCCCAGGACTCCTCCGCGGAAAACCAGGGCCCCTCGAAACGGCCGCCAGCGGCCACCAGGAAAACCCGGGCGCCACGATGAGGCAAGACGAGGCCGAGAGGACCCAAGAGCTCTTCCCTCTGAAAAGGGTGGCCCGAGGGTGGGAGACAACAAGCCTGCGGCGAGGCGGCATCGCGGCGCAAGCACAGGAGAGAGGGACCCCATAGGAGAAACAATCAACATGTTCTAACATGAGTTTCTGTTTCTCTTACTATTTGGGATCCCCTCTTGTTTTGTGCCATGCCGCTTCCACCAGGGTATTGTCGAGCGGGGCCTCGCGGGCCCACCAGCGGGGCGGCTGGGCCCCATTGAACTCACCGCCCCGTGTTGCCTCTCGCCAGCGCCGCCAGCACCGCGCGGCCGAGCTTCTCCCAGGGCGAGGTCAGGCCGAACGAGGCCTATGGCCCCAGGACTCCTCCGCGGAAAACCAGGGCCCCTCGAAACGGCCGCCAGCGGCCACCAGGAAAACCCGGGCGCCACGATGAGGCAAGACGAGGCCGAGAGGACCCAAGAGCTCTTCCACGTCTCCCTACCTGGTTCACCGCCTTGAAACCACCGCAGTGGGGGAGGCCACATCGTAGGCCAGCAAGCTTCCAAGAAACCTCCATCTTTCGAGGGTTGACTGCGAAACGCGCAATTCTGAGAGAGCCTGCTGGCCTTCTGTAAGGTATATACGAGCCGTCGCCGTGTCTTGCCAACGCCCTCTCTCTAGAGTGGCAGGCATATTACGAGTGCGACGGAGGAACGATGTGCCCCCCCCCTCTTCTTAGACTGTATGGCCTGAATTGGAATTGCTGGCAACCGATAGCAGCACACAGCTGCTCAAATATACGTCTGAAATCACCAATTGAAGATGACAGTTATCAGCTGGTCGGACGGAACATGTCGTAATAAGTACGATATCAGCTGTGTCACCGAGGCATCCTCAATCACGACTGTCTCCTGCCGATGAAATCGCAGGCCACTTTGTGTGATTGGCAGCACTGCAACTATTCTGGCGCGAGCCTCGTCGATGGCGACTTGCCAGCGTCGCAAGGTCAGCATCTCGGTGGTCCTCAGGAAGGCCGCGAAGCCGAGGGCCAGCAGCGCCGCGACGTCGTTGCGGCCCCAGCCACGCGCGGTGGCAGCCAGCGCCGTCAACACGATGTCAGGCATCGGATGCACTCGCTGCGGCAGCTCTAGTCTCTGCCAAGCACGAAGTAGCCTCCATGACGCTGGCAGGATGCGCTTCTTGCGCAAAAAGAACTGGACGGCTGACAGAGTGTTCCCTGCCAAGCCCTGAGGATGCCCTTCGGTCCAGAGCCACTCGATCCAGTCGGCCACCAGCAGATCCAGTTGATCAATGTGGTCGGCGCCTCCAGACCAAGAAAGCCCTCTCAAAAAACCCAATCTGAAAAGTATCTCACTGCATTCTGATATACCTCCAGGGTCCGTGGCTGCACCAGGTTGCGTGATAGGCGACCCGCCGCGGCCCGAAGCTGACGACGCGTAGCCTGATCCTGCGCTGCGCTGACTCTGTGTTGAACTCGACCTGGCATGAAGTCAATTAGGAGCCGCAGCCGCTCCCCCCGACGGGTTGTCCGCGGGGTTGCGGTCAGTCTCCGTGTAGCTATACACGGGACGGGCAAGAGCAGCCAAGATCAAGGCACCAATGCGTCGAACGGTAACATGCAGCAAGTGAGATGATGATCGGCCTTTGGTAATGACTCCGAGACCAGCTTGAGAATCCATCAGATGACAAAAGCGGGTGCGTAAATGTTGAGAGGATCTGAAGCGCCATCGCATGGCTCCCAGAGTGGCTCTCACCTCAAGGTCCGTGATGTGGGACGGGTGCTTCCAGTCCCAGATGGCGGTGGCCTTCCATGACCAGCGTGCCACACTGACTGGTCGCCTGGGCCACAGATCAGGCCGCGTCGCCACGAACGCGTCAAGCCTGATGTCGCTGCCTCTGGCCTCGGCACGGCGGGCCAGCTCTTCCACGATGATGATGCTGGGGTCCAGCGCGGCATCCTCACTCTCGAGATCGTGCTGGCGCACCAAGACACCGTCGTCGCAATCCATCTGGTCCATGCTGACTGTGGCATCGGCGATGGCGGCGCCACCTCCAGTCTCACGCATCTGCCTGACGGAGGGGATCTCGGTCAGGTAGCCTGCTCTCTGAGCCCAGTGGGCCAGCACCCAGGCGACAACCACACACTGAAAGCTGTTCCCAAGCAGAGCGCACCGGCAACACTCCAGATCAGCTTTCTCAAGCTTGCGCGCTCTGGTCACTCGTGCCGTGATCGTGTGCCCTGGAAGGAAGTCGAGCAGCAGCTCTCTCTCGACCCTCGAGGGGGGCCTTCGGCTGCCGTCAGGCTCCTCGATGCAGTTGATGTCCTGGAACTGGAAGGGCGCGTAGCAGTAGTTGAACCTGCGCCAACGCTCGACTTCATGACTTGCACACTTGTCGAGACCTGACGGGGATTGACCTGGAGCACGACGAGGAACACAGCGCAGGAAGGTGGGCAGGCGGAAGTCCTCCTGAACGTCACCCTGCCACTGAAAAAAAAAAAAAAAAAAAAAAAAAAGAAAAAAAAAAAAAAAAAAAAAAAAAGGGAACAAGAAAAACAAAAAAAAAAAACCGAACAAAATAACAAGAACATATAAAAAAAAAAAAAAAAAAAAAAAAAAAAAAAAAAAAAAAAAACAAGCCCAACACGAAAATCAATAAACAAAAAACTAAGCAAAAAAAAAAAAAAATACAAAAAAAAAAAACAAAAAAAATAAAAAACAAAAAGAAAATCAAAAAACATGAAACACATAAAACAAACTAAACCCAAATACACAAACCACTCAACAAAAAAAAAAAAACAGACACAAAAACAAAAACAAGCACAAAAACACCACCCGCCCCCAAACACATAGCCCAACCCCCACACATCCAAATCGTCCCCCGCGCCCCCACCTTACGACCCACACCCCGCCCCCACTCACCCACCACCCCCAGCCCAGGATCGGCCCCCAGCGTTCAACTGGACCGGGCCCGTCCGGGATCACGAGGTGCTTCACCGAGTCCATGACAAACGACTCGCCCTGCCACGGCGTGAACAGCTCCTCCTTGATCCAATACAAGCGATCACGCTGGCAGCGCGTGACATCACCCGCTGAGATGCACACAGGTTCGCATTCCAGGGAATGTGACATCAACTGTCGCGGTTCCGAATCCATTGAGGACACATTCTCAACCAGGGACAGCACCGTGCAGAAATCACCCAGCGCCTCGCGCAGAAGAGACACAGTGCGGCTTATCTCGTAGAACAGGCGTGACCGTCTCCCTTGAAGGCCAGTGCGCTCAGCGTTGATGCGGGACAGGTCGCTGCAAGGGCTACCGGCCACTACTAGTACCCATTTCACATGCGGAACTCGTTCACGGATGGCCACCGCCTCGGCGAACCCAAAGGAGCAGACGTCGCCGACTTCCAGCACGTCCGGCCATGCATACTTGGTCACTCGCTTCGCCTCGGCGTCGATCTCGGCGGACACGAACAGCGCGGGAGTGAGCCCCAACAGGTCCAGGGCGCAGCGAGCCCCACCAATGCCGTCGAACAAGGACAGGAGCACCACCTCGTCGCGGAAGTCAGTCACCAGCCTTCGGCAGGCCGCTCTCGCAGCGGCCACTCCATCAGGCCGAATGCGAACAGCTCGACACGCGGCTCCACGCTGCATGCTGGCATCCGAGACCGTCACCAGCCCGCTGATCGGCACGCGCAGGTCACAGCGAAGTAAAGGGAGCAACGTTAAGGCCGACACCAGCTCCTCGCGTACCTTACGCGGCACCTTCGCATCACCACGCAACTTCACCAAGAATCGCCACAAGTGAGTGAAGCACATCATCGCCTCGCGCCTGAACAGGAGGCACCGAACCAATCGGCCCGCCAGGATCTGCATCCACTTCTGAATCACTGTGGGCCTTTGCAGCGTCGCCAGGGTGAGGGAGATCAGCCGTCGCACGAACTCTGCGGGCGGCCCGATGGTGCCGCGCTCCCCATCGATCGCCTCCCCGAGGGACTGCGTCGTGGTCTCGCGGATGACGGCCTTGTTCTCGCTTCTTGGCACGTTGAAGTGCTCATACCTCCGACGGGCCAGGTCGACCGCCTCGCTGATCCCCTCCTCCTGCAGGGACTTGGCGTGCCACCAGTCGGTGATCTCCAGCACGTCCAAGTTGTCGATGTGCACCTGCCAGGCCCTCCAGAGGGCTGGCGTGTTGAAGCGCTCCAACCACTTCGCGATCAGAACATCGCCGTGGCAGGCCTGGTGCTCCTTGCAGCGGCAAAGCAGCCGGACACCACTCAGAGAAGATAAGTCGGCCAGAAGGTCGGGCGACTTCTCCAGGTGCTCTGCGAATAGCTCGATGGCCCGCCTCCTGTCCAGACCATCCCGAATGCGGAACGGGTTGCCCCACTTCGATGGAGCAAGCTGTAGTGGGCTGGAGCCGCGCCCGATGTAGATCGTCCGCTTGTCGTCATCATAAGTGCGGCCGACCTCACCACGGACAGGAGCCACTCCTGAGATGCGAGAGCCACCTCGGCGAGCAGGAGGAATAGGAGCGTCCTTGCGCAGCTCCTCCGACGCCGAGAGTTGACGTAGCTCAGGATGTCGGGCTCGAAGAAGGCGACGATGGATGCGCTGAATCACCCCGGTGGCCGATATCCATCCCATGGGCACGACGGCGGCGGCCAGGCATATCATGCCCTTGCCTGAAAGCCCAGCGACGCACCTCCTCACGGGCTTTGAGATGGCCATGTATTTCAGCCACACATCGCCGAGGCTGTACACGTAGAAGAGCACTTCAGATCCTCCGCACTCCAGAGCATCACCTCTCCAGACCTGAGGATCGCGCTCCTCCACTTGTCGCTGTGGGGCAGCATCGGCATGTCGCCCTCGATAATATTCTGGATGAAGTTGGAGGGGATGATGTTCATCACCAGCCGCTGCGGCCCCTCGCCCTTCAAGTGGGATCCCTTCTTCACGCCGAACATGCCCCCCGTCAACTTTCGCCCTTGAACCTCCACGATGTCCTCGTACTCAATCGTCTTGAGAATCCCCCTCTCGAGTAGGTCGCCAGCGATAAGCCCCCATTCCTCGTTCGGGGCCCAGACCTTCGGAGCGGGGGGCAAGCTGCCAAGCTCCGACTCGTCCTTCAGGATCAAACCTGGATCGGAGAGGGCAGCTCTGATCCAACCCTCTGTCGCATCAACGGCCCTCGCGGCAGCGCGCGCCTCTCGAGGAGGCAGGGCTTCGAGCAAACGATCACGGTCAAGGGGCTCGGCAGGGAACACCTCCTCGCCGTCGTAGGAAGTGGCGGCGGAGCAAAGGCCGGCGCCCCAGTCGATGTCAGGGATCAGGCCAGCGCACTGCTCACGAAAGACTCTGACCTCATAGAGAAGATTATCGAGGGCCTTGCGCTGAGTGGCGCTTGGAGGGCCGCGAGGCGCATGGACCCAACTGCGAGCGCAGTGAAAGTGGAGACCTGACACGATACAATGTAGCCAATCTAACTCCTCAGGCTTCGCAGCTGCCAGCTCTTGACCGCCCCCGCGAATGTCTCCGCGACGCTGAGGAGCAGCCAACCCATGAAACGCGATCGGGAACGGGAGAAGATCCCGACGCTCTCGCCGACCGTTCGGTGATGGAAGCGGATCTCCATAGACTGCATCATATTCGGAAACCAGCGAAGCCGTCGAGGGAGTGCGTAAAGAAGCCGGGTGTGAGATACCATCGCATTCAGGAGTAACGTCAGCTTTACCAAATGACTGATTGACTGAATTGTCAGTGGATGTACGTAAAGAAGCCAAGTGTGAAGAGTCGCCTGTCTCACCGTGGGCCGCCTCAGAGGCAGACCCAGCACCCCCACTAGCGGTAGCCAGGGTAGGCGACGGCGACCTCGAACGATGCAATGCGGACTTACGTTCAGTGCCAGGGTGTAGCGCAGGAAGTAGCCGAGATAGTAGAATGGCGCCGAAGTTCTCAACGGATGAACTGGGCAGCGCACAGGACAAGGAAAATAAATTCTCGGAGACATCCTTTGTGTCACAAGCGACAGTGTGCTCCGCGTCATGCAAGGAGTCTAGACAAGATGACCTCTGGGATGAGATCTCCGACTCCTGATCATCGATTGGATTGTCATTCTTCTCAGACTCAGACGGAACAACCATCATGTCCGTGGGAGCTAGGCGCGCTGCTTGCCTTTGCTCTTGCCCTTCGACTTGCCCTTGGAGCCGGGGCCCTGCCACCTGTCCGACTTGCCGCCGCCCTTGCCTTTCTTGAACTTCGGCTTCCCCGAGCTCGTGGTCTTCGCCTTCTCGCCCTTGCGCTGCGGTGAAGGTGAACCTGGGCAGCTCCTCGGCGCTGGTGGCTGCTGCAGTCCGCCTTGCTCGACCTGATCGGCGAAGTGCACGCGCCTCACTGGCGACGCTGCCCGCGTCTCCCTTCCAGCAGGCGGGCGCAGGATCGGTCGGCGATCGGGGCCAGGGCCCACGGCGCCGCGCGCGGCGGCGGCTGGTGACCCTGGGGCGCCAGGCACAGGAGGATGCGAAGCTGCGGGGCTGGCCGACTGCTGCGCCTGCCCTCCTCCGTGAGCCGCTGGTGCTGTAGCTTGCTTCTTCGCGGCGGCAGCCTGCCTCCGCTCCTTCCTCCAGCGCGTCTTTCGCGATGCCTTCACGCGCTCCACCATGCTGCTGGACTTGTTGGTCGTCGGGTTTGAAGAGAGGATGCCAGGGGTCGGAGATGGCCTCCGAGAGGGCGGCGCCCGAGGCTGTCCGCTGCCCTCTCGGCCTGACCCCTATCCTGCGCCACCTCCCTCCTTGGCCTTCGCCACGCTCTCGGCCAGGCCAAACATCCTCTTGCGCTTGCTCACGGCGTCGTGCACCTCCTCCTGGCGAGCGAGACCCACGCCCAGGTCGTCGCACAGCTCGAGATGCTGGGCCACCTGCCAGTGGCCGTCCTTGGTAGCCTGCTCGATCGCCTTCAGCCACTGCATCAAGAGATCGCCCAGGTGATCCAACTCTCCTCTGAGCAGCGCGTCGAGACACTCGCCGACAGTTCGCATCTCGCGAACATTTCTCACCCCCATCTCGCTCTGCGGGTGGTGACCGTGCCAGACGCTCGTGATGTACTGCACCACCGTCGCCGCCAGCTAGTCCAGGCCCTTGTCGGTGTCCGCCCCACCACGCCGTGCAAGATAGCGCTTTTTCTGATCCATTCCGCTCGACAGGAGAGCTCCTGGAGCGGCGTGGGCAAGATGAGCTATCCTGCGGCCTGGGTCGACGTGGGGGGCGCCGTCAAAAACTGAGCCATCGGAGCTGCTGGCGTCACCGGTGCGTCGTGTCCGCCTCCTCTCGCGACGACCCACTCGACGACCGCCAAGAGCCTGCTCAGCACGCTCAGCGAGGGCCTCACCTATCCCACGCTTGCGATGCAAGCGTAGGCGCAATTCAGCTACCTTCTTCTTCAGCTCCTCGGGGGTAGGCTCCGAGCCAGCCACGGCACCTCCAGCGGCAGCTCCAGGCGGGCCAGCACCTCCGACGGATCCGCCAGGGAGGCCAGCGGCTGTCTGCCCACCAGCGGCTCCACGACTGGCTAGCAGCGCCTGAGCCCACGGCTCAATCACCCCCGTGGAGCTTCGCATGCGGTAGGTCTCCACGTGCAGCACGGAGCGCTGAGGCCACTGCGCCAGCCCTGAGCACACGTTGGCCTGCTGGGTGCACAGGTGCAGCACCGCGCCACCAAGGTGATTGAAGCTCCCCGACAGCATCGGCCACAAGGCGGCACTGCTGCAGCCCAGGAAAGACGCCTCCACGAAGACACCCATGCCGTCGCCAGGCCACACGCTCTGGATGCTGAACAGCGCCGCGCCGACCGCGCTCCCGAAACTGTCCAGGGTCACGCACTCCAGCAACCCTCCTGGCGACAGCCCAAGCCGCTGGTACGCCATCGGCGACGAAGGGCCGTGCACCCAGGGTCCTGCTCCTCCTGGCGGTGCCGATAGATCGAAGCCACAGCCTCCTGGAGGCCCGACTCCACCACCACAAAGAACAAATTGAAAACAAGAGAAAAACACACAAAACACCACCAAATAAACCCCCCCCAACCACCAGATACAAGAAAAAAACATCCAAACAAATACACCATTGCAAATAAAACGATCACACAAATGCCACACTAGCTGCAGGGCACCCAGCCCAGCAGAGCCACCAAAAAAAAAATAAAAAAAAAAAAAACCGCCGCAGCAAAACGCACCTGGGCAGCTGCGACACACTGGGGCAACGCCTCCTGCTCCAACCGCCGAGAACGCCACCACAAGCCGGGGCCCAAAGCACCAGCGCCGCCGTGACCCTCCACGCCGAGAGCACCTCCTCCCAGTTCAGGAACAGCTTCCCCAATGGGAGGTCCTGCCACGCCGCCAGCTCCACCGATCACGGCGGCTGCACCACCTGCCAGAGGGGGAGGCACGAGTCCGCCCAGCGGGCCTCCTCCACCGGCAGCGCCAGCCATCCCGGGCGGACCTCCGACTCCAGCTGCCGCCATGCCTGCAGCCGCTCCGACTACCCGCGGGTAGTCCACACCGCAGCCACCCGCCAGTACTCCAGGAACACTCCAGCCTGCACATACCGCGCCAGCGCTCCTCCCCTGCGGGCCATCGGCGACCGGGAGCTTGCGCGGATCCTCCGTCGGCACCAAGCGGCTGCGGTGCGGCGCTTGCACCGCGACCACCTCCACGGGGCCGAGCCGCCACACCTCCGCGGCCTAGCCCCCCCTCCGGAGCGCCCGCAGCAGCCGCGGCCGCACGCGCTCGCATGCCGCCCGCAGCCCCGCGTGCAGCGGCCGCGCGTCCTCCGCGGGCTCCACCGGCGCCTCGCCCGACTCCGCGACCGCCGCGACCGCGGTTGCCTCCGCGGCCTCCTGGGGGCGCGGGCAGCGCGGCCGCTGCGCCCGCGGGCAGCGCGGCGAAACCGCCAGCGGCGCCGCTCGCGGCGGCCGCCGCCATCACATGGCGAGGCCGCCGCGCCTGCGGCCAAGGCGCCGCCCCCTGCACCTGAGGTCCCCCCCCCTGACCTCAGGCTCTCAAGACAAAAATCCTGCGGCGAGGCGGCATCGCGGCGCAAGCACAGGGCCTAACAGGAAGAGGGACCCAAACAAACAACAGTTCTACTACATGAGTTTATACGGTCGCCCCCTGTGATCAAACCTCTCCCTGCTTCTCTGGCTATTCCTCGGTTTTCTCTCTTTTCTTCTTCTACCCTCTCCTCCTCCCCTCCCACCCTTCCTCCCCGTTTCCCCCTCCTCCTCCTCCACCTCTCTTCTCCTCCTCTTCCCCCTCTTCTCTCCTCCTCGTCCTCTCGGCGTCCTCCTCGTCCTCCTCTCCTCCCTCCTCCCGTCCTCCTCCTCCTCCTCCTCCTCCTCCTCCTCCTCCTCCTCCTCCTCCTCTTCCTCTCTCCGGAACAATCCAGAACCCATACCAGACAGCGCTTGGCGCCGTCAGTGCACCGAATCACTGTATTTTTGTTGTTTTTTGCGTTCTGGTTTGTGAAGCCACGCAGCACTTTGCGCTTTTTGTTGGGAGGGGTCGTGTGGCTTTGAAGGCCGTGGTGCTCGCCGCGGCCTCCCTCGCAACACTCCCTCTCCGAGCCAGCAGAACCAAACAAAAAAATACAGTGTGTGGCGCCCTTGGCGCAAGGAAGTACCATGTTGTTTGTGTTTTGTGTCTTGTGTGTGTGTGTTTTTTGTTTTGTTGTTTTTCCTTTCTGGTTGTTGTGAAGCAACAAAACAATTTGTTTTGTTTTTTTTGGGGGCGGTTATGCAAGCTCCAGTGATCGCCGCGGCCTCCCTCGCAGCACTCCCTCTCTGAGCCTACAGAACCAAGAAAAAACAAACAAGAAACCAAAGATGCAAATTGTATCCTTGCATCCCAAACTTCTCTCCATAAAAAAACGATAACAACACAAACGCTCAGCAGATAGCGCCCCTGAAGGAAACGCTGTTGTTTTGTTGTTTCTTGGGCTTGTGAAGCCACAGAACACGATGTGTTGTTGATGCTTTCTTATTTTGCGAGCTCCAGTGCTCGCCGCGGAGTCCCACGTAGCAGTTTCTCGGAGCCTGCCAAAAAAATGGTTCCTTGCATCCCAGACCAAAAGGATGAGAAAAAAACACCCCAAACAAACAAAACAGCGTTTTCTTAAACCGAGGGTGATTGTTCCGTGGCCATTAAGGACCCCTTCGTTCAGATTCCTCGGTATGGATTCATGAAAAAAGACTCTGTGTTAAGGATTCCTTCATACAGATTTTCATTAGACTTTCCTGAAATTCAGATTCCTTGAGAGAAGGGCTCGTTACTTGAGATTCCTCTTGAAGGATTCCTTAGCGACTCCCTATTATAGATGCCTTACACCAGGCGCCTTATTAAGATTTGTTTGAGTAGACGTTCCTTACTAAGGATTACGTTGTCAATATTCGTTGGGAATGATGCTCTGCGAAAGGAGTTTTACGCACGGTTCCTGAATTTAAAAGATCCCGTATGAAGAATTCTGGAGGATTCCTGCATCTTCCTTATTCGCGAGTCCATATTGAGGATGCTGAACACTCCCCCATGGCGATTCCTTAACTAAGGTTCGTTAATCATGATTATGCATGAAAGGGTTCTCTATTACATGTTCCTTGTTAGGGATTCCTTGGTTCAGATTCCTTCTTCGGGATTCCTTCGTACGGATTCCTTATGGAGGGTTCCTGTTGGAAGATTCCTTAATTAGATTAATTCTAAAATTATACCTAGGTGAGGATTCCTGGGTACATGCTCCCGAATAAGAGTTCCATCGTTCAGGGATACCTCGACGACTCTTTATGACAGATTCCGTACACTGGACACCTAATTCAGGATTCCTTTTTTCCAGATTCCGCTTCAAGGGTTCATTCGCTCAATAAGACTTTATCAAGGACTCCGTATTTAAAATCGCTTATTGGGGATTTCTTGATTAAGGGTCCTTATTACATATTCCTTGTGTAAAGATTCCCTACTCAGGATTCCCCTTTTGTGAAGATGCCTTCGTAGGGATTCCTTGAAAAAAGATTCATTGTTAAAAAAGGGTTTCATAGTTAAGGTTCCTCATGCAGGACTCCGTAATGCAGATATTCCTTATAAAGAAAGATCCCCTATTAAGAATCGCGTACTACTGATTCCTTACTGGGCAATCTTTATCAAGGGTTCCTTCTCCTCATCATCATCGTCGTCATCGTCGTCGTCGTCATCATCGTCACCATCATCGTCGGGCTCGCGTTCGTCTTATCTAGCTCCTCTTCCTACTCACGCATATTGTATAGTTATTCCTTCTCCTCCTCCCCCTCCTCCTCCTCAGCATGCCCCTCCTGGAGGTTGAGAGGGACTGGGGCCCAGCGTGAGAGAACAGTGAGGAGCCTTGCGCTGCCCCGCCGCCCCCCGTCCGAGGTTGCACTCCCCCGCTGATGGAGGATTAGAGGATGAGGAGGCGCGACGGAGAGCGGGGAGCAGATGAGGAGGAGGACGGAAGAATACAACGGTAGAAAACATCGAAGCCAAGGCAAACTGCATGATCACAGGGGGGGCGAGCATATTCCGATTCATATATTTTGATAAGGTTGGGGACCCCAGAAAGAGCGCACCCCCTCTGACCTCCCCCCAAAAAACAAGTTTCGCATCCTCGGTCCTGTTTTTGCCCGGTCAGGTCGGCCTTGAAGTTCGGACTCTCCGCCGTCTGGTCCTCCTTAGAGGAATAAAAAAAAAAAAACAAAAAATAACAAAGAAAATAAATAGGAAAGAAAAAAAATAAAAAAAAGAAAGAATAATAAAAGAAAAAAAAGAAAAGAAATTAAAATTAAAAATAAAAAATGCAAAAAAAAAAAAGAACAAAATTAAAAAAATAAAAAAATAAAGAAACAAATAAAAAAGAAAAAAAAAAAAAAAAAAAAAGAAAAAGTATTAACAAAAAAACAAAAAAAGAGAAAGCAAAAAAGAAAACAATAACAAATAGGGCCTCTTGGGGAGCGTCCTGGAGCCTCCTGGGGCTATCTCGACCAGCCTCAAGAGCCGAACGTAAAAAGCGAAAAGGCGACGAGACCAAAAACATTGTTTTTTCCAATGGTCCTTTCGCTGAGTTGCCCTTCTCTGGGCATATCCTACGGCCAGCCTTGGGCCTCTTTGGGGTTCGTCTGGGGATTCATTTGGAGCCGTCCTGGGGCTATCTTGACGCCTCGAGACCCGATCGTAAGCGACAAGGCGAGAAGGCCAAACACATTGATTGTCCAATGGGTTCTCATTGAATTTCAATTCTTTGGGCCTTATTCGGCCTGCCTTGGGCCTCTGTAGGCCTCGGCTTGCGCCTCTCTGGGGCCATCCTGGGGCTGTCTTGACGCCTCCCGAGCCGACTGACAGCAAAAAGGCTAGGATACCGAACATACTTTTTCTTGTGTTTTTAAATAATTGTTTTGTTGTTGATTTTCGAATCTCCGGGCCCTCTCGGGCCAGTCTGTGCCCTCTGGAGGTCGTCGGGGGACTCACTTGGAGCCGATCTGGGCCTATCTTGATGCCTCAAGAGCCGATCGTAAGCGAAAAGGCGAGAAGGCCAAAAACATTGATTTTCATATGAGCTATCACGGATGTTCAATTCTTTGGGCCCTCTGCGGCCAGCCTTGGGCCTCTGCGGGCCTCGGCTTACACCTCTCTGGGGCCGTCCTGCGGTCATCTTGACGCCTCTCGAGCCAGCCGGAAACGAAAAGCGAGAAGGCCGAACACATTGTTTTTTTCCCATGGGTTTACTCTGGTTTCCGACTCCCTTTGGGACTCTTTGGACCTCTTGACCTGTTGAGCCAGCCTTGGAGCTCTTTGGGGCTCGTCTGGGGACTCATTTGGAGCCGTCCTGGGGCGATCTTCACGCCTCGAGAGCCGATCGTAAGCGAAACGGCGAGGAGGCCCAACAAAAATGATTTTCCAGTGGGTTCTCATTAGGTTTCAATTCTTTGGGCCTCATTCGGCCAACCTTGGGCCTCTTCGGGGCTCGAAGCCGGCAGCCCAGCAGCGCGCATGCCGGACATTGCATGTTCTGTACGAGGTGGAGGAAAAGGGGAAAGGAGGAGGAGGAGGAGGTAGACGAGAAGTAGGAAAAGGAGTAGGCCGAGGAGAAGGAGGAGGAAGTAGAGGAAGACGGGGGAGAGAGGAGAAAGAGGATGAGGATGAGGAGGAGAAAGAGGAGGAGGAAAATGGGGAGGAAGAGAAAGAGGATGCCCTGTTCCATGCCAGCCCAACCACTCGTCTGAGACATATTCGCGCCTCTGGGCCCCGAAACGCCCTGAGAAGGCCTCAGCTGGTATTGTCTGGTCGGTCCCGCTCAGGAGCTCCTCACCCATTCCGACTTGGCGGTGGCCCCCCCCCATGTTCACGCGCACGCCCGCCGCCCGCATTCCAAATTACATGCAACAAGGTGCATGGCGCGAAGCGCCAATGCAGTCTTTTATATATGCTCATACAAACATATACCTAACTATAAACGTGTGATATGTATACACATATGGATATACGTATTACTTTGTGTATGTGCGTATGTATGTATGGATGCATGTATGCATGTATACGTATCATGTGTTGCTTCTCTCTCTCTCTCCCTCTCTCTTTCTTCCCCCCATTGTCGGGGTATATGTGTGAATTTTTCTCTCTCTCTCTCTCTCTTTCCCTCCCTCTCTCGCCCATCTCGCACGAGGGGGCCTTCGCCTGACATTCGTTTGCGTTGTATGGTCGTGCACCATCTCGCTGTTCACTGTGGTATGGCAGTGTATGATTATAGTGGAAGTCCCTAGGGCGGCTTCCTTTGCAAAACGAAGCTCCCACCTGCACGGCACACTCATGAGGCGCTTCTCGCCCAGGAGAGTGCATCCCGCAGCAAGGAGGAACACCTCCGAGGACGTATGGGAGGGGGACGGGACGGGAGGGTCCGTTGCAGCACCACTGATGCACGTTGTGCTCGTATCGTCCTCCCCCCCCCCTCAGAGCTTCCTCCCGCAGGTGGCCTCGGAGCCCTCTGGGGGGTCGTACTCCCAGGCCGTAAGGTACAGCGCCTCGCCCCCTTCGGTGCCTCGCGAGGGGATGGCGCGGTGCAGCGGGCACGCGGCAGGTACCAGAGGCCAGCAGCCCTGACGGCCTGGAAGGATTGCGCCTGATCTGCCGTGCACTGTCGACGTCCAGTGACCAGTCTCGGCCTCAGCACGGCGCAAGACTACTCAGGATGACGAGCCAGCCCGAAAGTGGGGGGAAGAGGCAAGTGCATGTGACACACCGCGGATCAGAATTCTGGAACGCCTGCTGGGGTTCGGACTTTGAAGGATGCCTGCTTCCAGGTGAAGCCCAGCGGGGGCATCCGATGCCCCAGCGTCAACTGGACCCGCAGGGGTAGGATTTGCAGGTGGTCGCAGAAGAGACTACTTTCAACGTTTGTGGAGTATCTTGAAGCACTCCGAGAGCACTCTTAGCGAGCCCCTAACTAGCCCCAGGAAGCGTTTTGGCTGCAGTCTCCGACAGGAGGGCCTGGACTTACGACCCCCTATGTTGTCATCGATGGCCTCCCCGGTCGGCCCAGAAGGGCCCCGAAGGCCCCCAATCGAGCCTCAAGGCAGCCCCAACAGCTCCCAACGTCGCTTCAGGTGGGCCCCGAGCTGGCCCCTGGCCACAGGAAACGCCTGGCTTATGATTGCCTCCTCGCTCCCTCGCGCCTCTCACGTGCTGCCCCTGGGTCTCCAAAACCGTGCTGCGCAGTGCAAGACCAGACGCGGGCGGGGCGTGCATCCTCAAGAGTGGCGCGGTCGAGCAGCCCCCCGGGGCTGCACCCCCCGAGCTCCCCCTCGCCCCTGCGCGGCTCGATCCTCTCGGCGGCAGCCCTGGCACTATATAGGGTGCGAGGCAGCGCCCGCGAGCCCGAGAGGCAGAGGCGGGCGAGCACGCGCACTGCAAGACGCACTGCAGGACGCCGCGGGAGCCCAGCGTGCGAGCACGGGGCCCGGCGAGAGGGGCCCCGGGGCCACCCGGACGGCGAAGCGAGCGCGGCCAGCGGTGGAAGAGCCGACGCACCTGCGCGCAGCAGGGAAGCACTCGGGATGGGGGAGGGGGGCGCACCGAGGCGCGTTCGGTCGGGCATGCCCCCCCTACAGGGGGCTCTTGGACGAAGGATAAAAAGTACCCCCAATCATAACCCCCCAAAATATTCAAAAATTGTATTAGAAATAGTCCCCACACTATTTTTTTACTATTTTTGAATATCCCCCCCCCCCCCCTGTAGAGGGACAGGACCGACGCAACCGTGGCGTCGGAGCCCCCGGGAGGGGCGCGGGGGCCCCTCCGCGCGCGGGCCCGCCCCCGACTGGGGGGCCCCCCGCGGGAGCGGCGCGGCACGTGAGGGGCAGGGGGCTGCGGCGGCGGCGCGGCGGGCGCGAGGCGCCACTGGCCATCGCTCGGACGTCCATTCCCTGTGCTGTTTTCGGTTTCGTGCGTGGTTTTTTCGCCAAGTGATCAGGAATGCTCCTCGATGGGCCTCGCCGAAGGAAAAATGCAGACGTCCGAGCGATGCCAAGGCAGGGGGCTGCGGCGGCGGCGCGGCGGGCGCGAGGCGCCGGCGAGGACCCCCCCCTGGGGGTCGGAGGGGGCGGGGGGCTGCCGAGGGGCAGGGATAGCCAGCCTCGAACGTATATCGCTTTCCCTGAGATGGGCGAGCAAAACGCGAGGACGATCTCAGGGACAGGCCCTCAGAAACGGAGGGAATCCTGAAGATCGGCATCGAGGCGAGGTGATGTCAAACATGGGGATAGGGATGTGCTTCAAACTGGTGAAGGGATGCAGCTCGGACTCGATCGGGGAGGCCACGCGAGAGGGCTCGAGAGCCTGCCGGGGGGCCACGCCGCCGCAGGAATGCAGGAGGCACGGGCCGCAGGACACAGGACACGAGGGTACCCTCGATCTGGCAGGGTCGACCTACTAATACGGGCCGCCCGCAGGGGGGGGGGGGGGGGGGGCTGGGCACAGGAGGGGGAAGCATCGACCTGGAGTCGGCGATGCATCGCCGATAGACATGGCGATTGGCCCCCCCCCCCCCCCGATAGGGAATCCGCACGCTCCTGGGCAGGTTGGGGCTATCGGGCCCCCTAGTCGGCGATGAATGGGGCGATGGGCGGTCGATGCACCCCTCCCCGTGCGCATCCCCCCCCTGATCGCTGCCCCCGAGCTGCACGCAAGGGCGCTCCTGGGCAAGAAGAACCCTTTGGCGCGCGCGGCTTCAAAAGGGGGCCGCGGGGAGGCCACATCCAAGCGCGCAGGCCCCGGTGCTGGGAGGACCTCCGCGAGCCCGCGCGAGAGGCGAATCCGGCGAAGGCCACTCTCGCGCGCAGCCGAAGGGGTGGGGCTAGTATACAGTCGAGGCGTTGACCAAAGGAACCCTAAATAAGGAACGAGGCCCCTATTTTCCATCAGTTACACTTCGATGTCATATCGAGAGCCGAAGGAAAACCTGAGGCATGCTGTGAAACACTCAAGGAACGCGGAGCCCCTCCCCAACGAAAAGGGTTCCTTCGTCAGCGCCCCGCCTGTAGTATAAGACGGGGGTGCGGCGAAGCCGCTCACGGAGCTGACTTCCCAGGCGCCTCCCGGCGCCAGTGTGCCAGGGCGCTGGAAACACACCTGGCCGGATCGAAGCGCGGAGCACGCGGGGGCCACCTACGGGACGCACACTCGGAGGGCCCCCTCGCCTGGCCGCAGGAGGGCCGATCGCTGGAAAGACGTGTGGCCGCACGAGACTTCAGCTCTCGCCCAGGCCGGCCTCGTCATGTGTCTGCAGCTTCCGGGTATCGAGGGAAGCGCCCCGCCAGCGGGGCCGAAACCAGCCACATGCAGCAAATTCAACGACTCTCGGGCTGCGCCGTGGGCTGGGACGGCGCGTGGGCCTGGAGTGAAAGAGTTGGTTGTTGTTTTGTTTTCCTGGCGAGCAGGGGGAGGCCCAAAAAGTGAGAGGGCTCAGTAACAGTGCCGGAGATTCGGGCGCTGATGCCCTCAGGAGCGCAGCGGCGCTCGCGCAGCATTGGACAGGCACTTGCCGAAGAGGCAGGGATGCACAGTTAGGCTTGTGAAGAACGCCGCCAGCAGCGTTCTAATCCTGCTCTGTCTCCTCCCTCCTCCTCAACCACCTCCTGCCCCTATTCTTCTTCCCCCTCCTCTTCCCCCTCCTCGTCCTCCTCCTCCTCCTCCTCCTGCTCCTCCTGTTCCTCCCCTGCCCCTGCCTCTCCCTTCTCCTGCAGCCCCATTGGGAACCCGAGGGCTGCTAAGTGTGGGCATCCCGCAGGGAAAATCTGACCCTGTCCTCTCTTCCTGGCACGCCCAAATTGGGGGCGGAAGGAGCGGGGACGACGCCCAACTCCGGCAGGGGTCCAAAGGCCATCGAGCAGCAGCCCCCCCGACGGCACCTTCGAGTCCGTCCTGGTGAGATGGCGGGCGTGAGGCTTCGGCTTCACGGCGAATGGGGATCGTGGTCATGGCCTCCGTGCAGCGCACGTGCACTTAGTGTTTTACTTGGGTGGCGTATGATCGGACACGTCGTTGGCATGGTCTCCATGCTCAGGGTGATGTCCCAGTGCTGCCTCTCGCTCTCGGGGTTCGAGCAGGAGGGGACGGGCATCAAGTTTTTCGAGCTGTCCGACTCCGAGGAGTTCGATGACGCTGCTGTTCGACTCCGACTCCGACTCCGAGGAGTCCGACTCCGAGTAGTCCGAGGGTTGAGGAGGGCGATCAGTCCCACATTGTTGCTTATGATGGTGCCGAGGAGGGAATCTCGACTCCAGATATGACGGCTATGCAGAGCAGTATTGCCCAGTCGTCCGCCCATGATCTCCATGACCCGCTTGTCGGCAGCGGGGGTAAAGGAAGAGCCAGAACATCCACGCGGCGCACCACGGAGAAGCAGATCCTGGAGCAGCTTGCAGAGTCGGTCGCCGCCCTCCAGAAGCTCGTTGGGGTGCCCCCCTGGGGTGCATCCGAGCCACAACCCTCGTCTGGGTCGAAGCGGCCGCCGGGGAAGAAGGGGATGCAGAAGGACCTCCCGATCGTCAGCCGCCTGCGCAGCCTGCTGGCCTGTGCTGCATGAAAGAGGGGGGGAAGTGCACGCAGGAGATGGGCGACCCACGGGCTGAAGCAGGTCACCGGCGTCTTCTTCGCGTCGGGCGAGCAGGGCGAGCCCCGCGGCGCGACGACGGCGACCACGACCACGGGCAAGCCGACGGCGGAGGCCTTGGGGTACGGTGACCCTGGCCCACGCCTCGACGGTGAGGACGAAGCTGGAGACGACGACGGACCCTCTGGTCATCCTCGCCTCCGCGGCCGCCGCGAAGGACGTGGCGGAGAGGCTCCACCGCGCCCACGGCGGCAGGGCGAGCATCACGACGGTGCTCCTCGAACCCGAGGGCGACGGCGCGGTCCTCCTGGCCGGGGCCCGCGGCCCTCGCAAGGCCCATGCAGGTCCAGATGCTCCCAAGCGTCTCGGTCTGGGCCCCGAGCTCAAGGATGATGAGGAGCTCCCCCAGGAGAAGCTGCTTCTTGTCACCTTTCGTATCACGGCAGTGCAGGAGCACATGGACGAGCCTCTCTACACCGAGATCTATAATGAGCCGCAGGCACTGCCCATCATGGCCTTGGGGGAGAAGCACGCGTCAAAAGGTCGTGAGGACTCGTGGTGCTATTGCGTATGAGGTGGAGACGGCGTGTGTTGTCAGCGTGCCCATGAGTTCTGAGAAGGAGGTGTCTGCGATGATTCCCCCCAGCGGATGTTTCATCATGAAGCAGGCGGCTACGACGTCGCCCAAGTGCTTCGTCCGCCGCGACAGCGAGACGCCAGCGGAGTACCTCAAGCGTGTGTGCGCCCTGGTGGATGACAAGAGAAACTTGTCGGTGCATCGGCCCTTCTGCAAGGCTCAGCTCGGCACGGTCAGAGTGCAGAGCCGTGCGATCGTGCCTAACACCATCGAGCCGACCAAGTATTACCTCAGGCACGCACCCACAAGGTGGACTGCTCCAAGGGACGTCGTTGGATGGGCTAACGACCGG